TGCTGAGATTTGTTATCAATGGAGTCGGCAGAATTCCAATATGCAATTATCAGGCATTTGCTGTTTCAAGTTTGGGACGAGGACGAGGACGAGGACGAGGCGGCGATGAACTTTCTTCATTTCTTGTTCTATTTACTTATATTTTTATTTCTTAACTACAAATTAAATTTTTATTTCCTCGAATAATTTACTTCCACGTTAAAACAGTTTAATTCAACAATTTAACCCTGATAAATATAAAAATCTCATTCCATTATTCATCTTTTATTATTTTTGGCTATGGTTAAAAGTATTTTTTTTTTTTTTACCTATTTTATCGATAATATGCAAAGAAACTAAAAAAATTACTTTTGAGCACATCTTATGTAGAACCAAACGTGGTCCTACACATTCAGATATTTTATTTCTACTTATTATCCCTCTTATGTACAACCAACATTGTCCTACACATTCAGATATTTTATTACCACTTCTCTTATCCTTCTTATGTACAACCAACCATGGTCTTACAACGATTCCTAAATCGTATGAAAGTGAAAAGGCCAATGATGCAATAATAATTTTAAAGAGGAAATTGGAAGAGTCACAATCCATCCCCATTGATAATATAAGTTCAATAAATACACCTCATATCTCTGCCTTAGGATTTATTAATTGATCAATGCTAAGTGTACACAATTTATGTACATATACACATAACTCTCACATGGGATGAGACCAACCCATGGAGGTCCCACGGATGAGTCTCATCCCATGTGAGAGTTACGTACACTATTATGTACAACAGGAATAATCCTTATTAATTTGTCATGTGGATCTATATATATAATTAATTGTGTATAAAGTTATCTTAAGGTTGGATCCAATTAAAGTGATCTAATAAATAATTAAATTGTTGGGTTTATGACATCTAAATAGAGTGATGATCGAATTATATATGTAGAGATTGGATCCATTAGGGTTGTATTTGATGATGGACCAAATACATATGAAAATTATAAATAAGGTTATGATCCTCAATTCATATGTAACTTCTCATTCTTTGTGTTATCACATCAACACAAGAATTAATAGAAAAAACATATTGAAGAGGAAGATCAAGAAACTCACAATCAAGAATCTATAATCAAGAATCAAGAAAAAAAAAAGATTGGAGCAATTAAATTGAAAAACAAAACAATCAAGATTATACAGTAAAACGCAAAATTAAGATCAAGAACTAAAAGAGCCAACAATCAAGATTCAAGATCCAAAATCAAGATCAAGTAATAAGAAATTATTCCCAAAGAATTAAGATATGTTCCGTATTATTAACTTTCTTGATTATCTGACATGGAGGATCTTGACAATTAAACAATTAGGTTTTTCAGTTTTATAAAGTTTAACAAGTGGTATTAGAGTTAATTCCATATTAAACCATTGAGAATAAAGAAAGAATTTTTGGGTTGAAATTCATACATTGTGTTTTAAAATTTAAGGATGCGAATTTTAGTCCTAAAATTCAAAATTTAAGAATTTTTGGAATTTTTCTTCTGGATCAAGTTTTGTTAATTTTAGATAAAGTTTGTGCACGAAAAAACATAGTATGATAGAATGTGAGAAGAAAGAGGGATTTCCAATTTTAATTTTATATACTAGAATTGTTGAAATTAGGCCTCCAATCAACCACAAACCGGGCTCAGAAAACCAACCAATCGACACCACAAGACAACACCAAGACCCCCAACTTACTTCCCACTAACGGTTG